AATATACTAAGTAAGAACTGTGCCCATCTCAGATTAAGAAATACTATAAGTATATTCTTCTTTAATTTCTCTATATAACATATAACATATCCGATCCACAAAGTGTATGCCGAATTCGTTTCGAATCGCTCTCATATCTACATGATTTTCTTTGGTTTTTGTAACTAATACGCGGCACGGGCATAATTAAATCTTTTGACTGTCGCCTTTTGTGTGCGCCATTTGTTGTGTGTTGTAATCATAAGATAAATCCGTTTCAGCTGTGAACAGGTTGCTGTGCTCCAACTGTGGTCTCCGCAACACCTTTGTGCTGTGCGGGTTGAACGCCCAACTGAAAAGGCGCTAGAGAACAATGCTCACAGTTTGCCATATTATATTTATAATATTTAAAAAATCAGTTTATCTTTCTCTCTCTCTCTCTGTCTTCTCTGTCTGTTGTTTTTACCCCCTCCTTTGTTTTTTCTGGCTATTTTTCAAGCACTTAGCGTGCTGACAAGTTGAAGCATTTGCGTGGCCCGTCAGTCAGGTGGCTCATAAGATATATAAACGGACTTGGACCTCTTGCAAAACCGACGGGGTACCTTATTATTGTTGTTGTTGCAGACACATTTCAGTTTTGATATGTGCTGTCGCGCATTTGAAGCTCGGTCTCTCGCTTGTTGACGGGCCCGCTTTGCTTTGCTTAGCCATGGCCAAGTCTCTGGTGTGGGTGGCCCACACACATGTATTTGGACTCAGAGTCAAATCGGAGACTCGGACATATACATGGTGCAATTGTTGCGCCGCCGGCGCCTCAGTCCAACTTACAGTCGCAATCCCTCCTCGCGTTCGTCTTAGTCGCCAAAGCTCGGCTGCGTATTAAATTTTGAAATTGGTTTTTGTTGCGGTCGTTAAGCTTATTTCCGTATTGAAGTCTCAGTTTGCTTTTGCGGTTTGAATTAATTAGCCTGCACCACGAACTATATTTTATTCTTTTGCATATTAAATATATATAAGACATAAGACTCGGTCTCGTTCAGTGGCTCCAAGAACGCCAACGCATTTGAATTTGAATTTGATTCTGACTCTGAATCTGAATCTGAATCCAAATCAAATCCGAGACAATGGTAATTATTAATAATGCAAATAATTATATCGATTTCATTCCGGGGCGTTGCCAGCGATTTGTACAAAGGTTCGCTTGCGTTTCGTTTCGGTTTGCTTTGATCGCCAAGTGTGGGAAAAAAATATCAAAAGTTCTCATTTGCCACTTGAGCTTAGAACTTTTGCTGTTTTCATGTTCACTAATCTTGTTTATGATTTTGTGTTCCTTTTTTTGGCTAATTTGCCTGCGTTGCAGTTGGCTTTGATTAATTTGACGTCAACGAGTGCATGGCATTGGATTTATGGCGCTCAAGAGTTGCTGTTGAATATGTGTCATGAGTTATGAGTAGCAGAGCTTAGTGACTGTGCGGCTAGATCGCTAATGACAAGAGCTTAAAGTGCCGCGAAAGGAACCCAACGGATTAGAGTGAGAGGGCAAGAGTGCCAAATTGTAGGCTCCTGGACCAGGTCTTGTGATCTTGTTGTAATATTAAGCATCTTTAAGTGGCTCGCAATAAACTATAAAAAAGTCTAAGCGTAGCATATACTGAAGCCAAAAGTAGAGTATAGTTGAGTTCTCTTATAGCACTTGCTGATGGAAATTTATATTTCGATATTTTAGCATCAGATTGCCTCAAGCAAATTACTCCAACTTGCTACGATTCATCCAGTATATAAAAACTATTCATCAGCTTATTTTCTGCTCAGTTTGGTCTCAGATTTACTTATAGAAAAGCTCATAAATTGCGCAAGCTAAGATTGACTTTAAGCCAACAGCTAATCTCTTGTTGCATAAGACATTCTGTAGACCATATTAAAGTGCGATTAGATCTAAAAATATCGCAACAGGCGCTGCGAAACAGCCATTATTAAATATTAATTTACACCCAGCGCGTTAAACAAACAACACGTACAGCCAGCTACAACAATAACAACAGTGTTGACTACAACAATTGGTATCTGCATCAGGTCTCGAGTCAATCAACAGCTGCGACAAAGGCAATTGCTAAAGCGCCTGACATATTTCATGCTTCCATAATGTTGTATACCCTGTAGCCATGAAAAATGGGTGGATCAGCTATAGCAAATGAGTGAAGCGCATACATGAGCTATGTTTATTAGCTTGAGCTTTGTTTTAAGTGGACTTTCTTTCTGATTGAAGCAATTAAAGACCCTAACATCACTCCTCTTACAGGGTATCTTTTAGTCAGTCAGTCTGTCAGCTCTGCGTGCTAACATATTGTTTTTCTATGCGCATTGCAATTTATTAAATATTAATCACAACGAGCGGCAACAAAAACGTGCCATGAATTTGAAATTTAAATATTTTACACGAAAAATTGATTTTGTAAAATTAAAAATGCATTTAAAATAACATTTAACGATAAGAGATTAATTAAACTGCCAGCTAGGAAGTCTACAGCTTGCCTTCTAAAACCCCTAGAGGTGCCCAGTTGCCAGGCCAGGCCAGTCCAGGCCAACACACAGCATAGAATCAAGGCGTGTTTAGTGCCAGCTACGAAAATGCCAATTAAAATGAAATAAATGAAATTCGAGCAAACAGCCACGTTAGAAAAATCTTTTATTTTATTTTTTCATATATTTTTATTTTTGGGGGCCATAAATTAAGGCTCTAAACGATTTTCAAATGCAATCGCGGCGTGGCACTTGTCACCAGTCAGAGCTAGTTGGGGCAGCGGCCAAGGGGGTATGGCCCGTCTAATTTAACCTTTGACCAAAAGCCGCTACCACTAAATTGTGTGTGCCACATGTGCGTTGCCCATTTGATTTTTAAGGCGTGGCAACGGCAGCCACTGCAGCAGCAACAGCAGCAGCACCAGCAGCAGCACGCGCAGCAAGTCAACGTCAAAAGCGCCTACAAACAAAGACTCCAAAATTTTGAGTCTGACAACAGTTGATCGCTGCTTTGGGAAGGGCGCGAGGAGGCATCACACATTGTCCTGGGTTCTTGCCAAATGTAATATGACTTTCCCAGTCAAGCTTTTCGGTGCCTGTGGTGTCTTTACTAATAGACCAAAGCTACCGCCTGACAAGTTACAATTCGTGACGGAATTGAGTAACAACTGAGGCAACGCTGAACTGGGCATGCTCTATCAAAAGATGCTTAGGTTGCTTAACATTGAGAGAAAAACTCGAATTAGAAATGGTTTACAATTAGATTGTTTTTAATGCCCATTTGTGAAAAGGCCTTTATTTTTATTGGACTTATTCTGCAAACCATAGCCTTAAGAAGAGTCCAATTAGCATGCCGTTTTAATATAACTATTCCATTACTAATACTCTATGCATCTAGTAGTACTTAAGCAAATTTCATTATAAAATAACACTAACCCATAGGTTAGATAGTGTATTTCCGACAGTTTCAGACCAAAACCAAAGGCAGTGCCGAAAAAAAAAAAAAAACAAAAACAAAAAATGAACGAAACTGGAAGTTGTAGAGCGTAAGAAACTGCGTGGACGGCATTTATAATAATGCGACTTGGGCAGGCACAAAGTTGACTTTGGGCTACAAAGTAAGGTGCGGCTGCGGCAGTGCGGAAAAGCCTACAAAAACAAAAATCGCTGCAACAAGCCAAACAGCAACAACACACGGTGGCAACGAAAATGAACTGGAAAACGCGTTTAATTGAACCAAAAGCCCGATGACTGCCCACTAGCGCCATCTAGCTGCGTGCGGCTGCACTAAGCCGGCTTGGCAAAACTTGTTGTTGCTGCGGCTGCTGCTGCTGCTGCTGTTGTTGTTGTTAACTTGTTGCCGTTGCCGTTGCCGTTGCCGTGGTAGACCCGAAATCGATGATTCATCGGGTTGTTTGTTGTTTTGAGTGGTTTTCGCCGCCCCGTCGCAAGTCTCCAATGCACAAAAAAATTGCTAGACGTTTGTCGTACTTCGTTGTTGTCGTTGTTATTGTTGTTGTTGGCGCTTGCCGCCTGCTGTTGCCGGTGACGCAGTTGCAATTGCAGTTGCAGCTGCGCCAATTCTCCTTCTCGTTTGCCGTTTGGCGCTTTACGTTCAAAACAATTATTATTCTGGCAATTAATTTTGATTTAAGCAGCGATTTGATATTCCGCTCTAACCGTAACCAAGCAGTCAGCTAACCAGCCAGCCAAGCAGCCAACCAGCCAGCCACCCACCAAATGAGCTGCACCACCACCCGCTGGTGCGGCAATCTGTTCGTTGCCGGCGCTTTGTGATTTGGTAAATTTGCGAATCAGCTGCAGTTTTTTTTTATAAGATCGATAAATAAAGAGACACCTACGTTGCACCTACCGAGACGCCAATCGATAGCATCGCCTCGACTTGTCAGCAAATGAGCATCGACTAACCTCGCATGATCTTGCCACGTCTCGATTGCATTTCAGATTATGATTCTGTGCTGCAAGTGAAGTGTCCAAACATTTGTTTGCAAATAAATTTTCGTTTTTATTTGGTTTTTTTCCATTTTATTTATTAGTTATTTTAATTGAAAAATATTTACACAACTTAAATCAAAAATAAATTAAAGTTTCTAATATAAAAATAAGCATAAATATATAAATATTAAAATACTTTCTATGCAGTTAAAAAATAAGCTCGCACCATTTCGATTTGTACAGGGAGAGAGTTTCAACAATAACAAAACATTAGCTAACAACAAATGGCTGGCTATAACCACGTGGCTAATCTGTGCAATAAATAGCTAAATAACTAACATAATCTATGCATATAAATATTAACTTTTTGGATATGATCTTTTGGCTACACTAGAAATGTTCCTAATAGGCAATAAAATTGCCTTGACTAATTTTTGGCACTGAATTCCTGACTTATTTACCTGCTTTGGCTACCGTGTGAAATGTGACTCAAACTTAAAAGTAATTTTAATAATATTTAGATATAATTCCTGCAACTGTTGTGCTTAGTATATGCCCTGTCTGACCTGTGTGGGCATTTGAAATTCGTGTGCTTCCTCCTCTTCGCCGCCGCTGCTGCCCGCGCTGCCCGCATAGTACAGCTGATGGGCCGACTCCTCGTAGCCCTGCAGATGCTGCTGCAGCTGGTGCTGATTGAAGCCCGCTGTGCCGTTGCCACCCTGTTCCGCCTGGCAGCCGCTCTGCAAGTGCTTGGCCAGCAGAGACATTCGGGAAAAGGACTTGGTGCAGCTGGGGCATGAATACTTCTTGACATCCGAGTGCGTTTGCATGTGCGCGCGCAGATTGGAGCGATCGGCGAAGGCGCGGTTGCAGTGCTGGCAGCTGAATGGCTTCTCGCCCGTGTGGGTGCGTATGTGGCCCTGCAGCAGCCAGGGCCGCGAGAAGGCCTTGCCGCAGATAGGGCACTTGCAGGGCAGCGTGTGGGTGCGAATGTGCATCTTGAGTGCGCCCAGCGAGACGTACGTCTTGTCGCAGTTCTTGCAGCTGAACACCTTCTTCACCTGATTGCCCTCGGCCGAGGGGCAATGGAACTGCTGATGCTTGCTGAGGCCCGAGTATGTCGAATAGGACTTGCCACAGTCTTTGCAGTGGTAGCGTGGTACGCCCACTGGCTTCTGCATGGACTGTGCCGAAGCGGCATTCGCCGCCTGTATCAGAGCCGAGGCTTGATCCGTGCAGAACTCGGTTTGATCGACGATCGGACCACCGCTGGGATTGCTCCGTATGATCTTATACTCGGTGCTCTCGTAGGCATGGCTCTGCTGATGCTTGACGAGACCCGCGTAGGTGGCATAGCATTTGTTGCACTGCTGGCACTGATAGTATAGATCGTTGCTGCTCTTGATTTTCAAATTCAATTGATTCTCATTGTTTTCCTGATTCTCCAAGTCTTCGTCCTGTTCGAGCTGATGCGGCGCGTGCTTCTGATTGTGCTTGAAGCCTTGCTGCTGCTGCAGCTGCTGATGTGGCGCCATGTGTTGCATGCTGAGCAGCGCACGCGCCACATTGTGCAGATTGACATTCTCGTTGAGGCCGCGACGCTGCTGTTGCTGCTGCTCGGGCCGCACACTCAAGTCCTGTGGCTCTGCCGGCAGCGGGTAGCGCTCTGGCATTGGCTGCTGCTCCTGCTGGGGCAGCTTCAAGCAGTCCTCGTACTCGGCAATGCTTTTCAGCAAGTTGTTGTTATAGTTGCGCAGTCCGAAAGACTCCTCCGGCTGCTCCGCTTTGACAAACGTGGCGACTGGCAATGGCGGCGATATACTGGCATAGCTGGCAGCCATTTCAGCGTCACGTTCGTTCTCCGGCTCCATGACTTCATCCTCTGGCGGCAGCTCAAAGTCGCCATAGCCCAGACGCGCCAAACTCTTGGCAATCTCCTCGCGTGTAAAGACATCGGGAAAGGCGCGCGCGATCTCGCGTGTCTCCTCCCAAATGCGACGCGCCAATTGCTCCTTGGTCTGTGTCATGGCTGCATCGAAGCGTCGACGCAGCTCTGTGGTAACTGGCTGTGTCTCGGGCTCCTCTTTCATCGACCACTGAGGTGGCTCCAAGGGAACCGAAGCAGCAGCTACGCTAAGATCAACGGGACCTTCATCTGAAGAAAGCGCATGGAAGAAATGGAAGAAAGTTAATGGTTGATAATCTTACAGAAATATCTCTATCAGAATGAGAGTTGGACAGAGTTTGAACCTACCATGACACAACTGATCTTCAGGCTCCGGCTTTTCCTCGACTTGTATGGGTCGCTTTTTCAACGGGCATTTGCTGTACTTTAGTTTATCCATATTAGCTCGAGGAATCACAATTTGGTCACTTTTCAGCACTGAGGATCAACGCGATCTTGTTCTATTTATTGGGATTTTTGAAACTGAACTTTGAATCACTGGAGCAGATCATTGGCTGCTCGCACGCGTCTCGATCGCTGGCCGTTTCGTATGTGAATGATGCAACCGCCGAGGATCACTTTAATTTTATATAGACTTCACGACGCAGGATCAACCCCCAGCCAAAAGTAAAGCAGCAGCAGCAGCAGCACCAACCCCCTTTGAGTGCCAAAAAAGGATCTGCAGCTACCTACTTCCGATTTTCGTTACGGAGGATTCTGTACGGAAATCAACCACCACGAGCCACACATTCAATGATCTTCCATGGCAGCGCAGTCACCCCTCTGCCCAGACATGGATTGTCGCCTGCCGCAACAGCTGTGCCGTTCATTGAACGTTGCTCCAGCTGCAGATCGACGAGGCACAGAGCTGCCGCCAACAAATCTCTGTTCAAAAAGCGAGCACGTGCCACACCACACACATATACACATAGTTCACACACTCTTACACATACATTCATACAGATACGTAGACACACCGGTTACCGGCGCGTCGCTCTCCCTCTGGCACACCAGCGCAGCCGATCGCCACCAGCTGCCACTGAGATTCAATTTTATACACTCAAATTTCCCCTACTCTATGCGTGCGTATCAGTGTGTGTATTAGTATTAGTGAGCATAAGCGTGAGCGTGAGCAGCAGCTGCGGAGCTTATGTATATAAGCGCAAGCCCAAGTTTATTTTTAACTCGCTGCGAGGTGCTCGCTGCCTGCTGCTGTCTCTTTCAGTCTTGACAATCGGCTTATATACACGACGAAGTACACACAGAGACACGAAGTTCACGCTCTGCCAGCAGGTGAGCTGTTTGCTGCTCGCTCTTCGTTGGCGGCAAAGAGTAGCTTTAAGCTAGAGCGCATAGCCAATTGGCGCTCTGCTGTTTGTTGCCGCTCTCTTTTTTGTTTGGCGCTCTTGTTTCACATTTCATTCGTTGCGCTGTCAAGAGAGCGCAAAGTATTGAAACTCGTAGTCTTTTCAGTTTGTTTTAGTGCTCTTGCAGGCCTTAAGCAGCTTAAATCAATGGTCCTCGCTGAGACCAGTAAAGCTGCAGCTTTCGAGTGGCTGATATCATCGAATGGGTTTACTTTAAGCTTAGCTTTTCTGCTCAATTGCAATCTATGAAATCTCTCTGCTGGTCCTGTTTATATGCCTATATTGATATAGCGATCTTCTAGTCAGCAGCTGCGAAAACTTGGTCATCAAAGTGCAGTTTTATGGTCTACAAAACAATGGCCAAAATACTTAGCGGTTCCCAAATATTAATCACAGAAATAAACAACCCAGTAGAAAGTAAATCAACAACTATTGTTCACAGCCTTAGGCCTCGCTCCTCCATCTAGGTGCATTCAAACAATAATAACAACAACAACAACACAAAATCCCAAACGGCCGTGAAATTTTTGAAATTTGTTATTGAAAATTTGGTTGCCAGCTGCCAGGCCAGGAGAAACCTCCACTTTGGTACTGCTCATGGGGTGGCTGCGCCGCCGCAGTTTACCTGGCCGATCCTTTTGGCAAGAAGTACCTTGGAATGCGCCAAGAGGTATGTGCAAAACTACCTGGCACCTTTCAACGTGCTTGTGCGCGTTGCGCCTGTGCCCCGTGCTGCAGTTGGCCCACCCCAATGGAACGCGCAGCATCACCAGCCAGCCGCCTGGTGGTTGAGATGTGGTGGTGGTGCTGCTGCTGCTAGTGGTGGTGAAACTGCATTTCGTACGTTATTTTTCGAGCCAACCCTTAGCCAAAAGACAGCGTCTTGGTCTTCGCCTTGATCTTGGCAGAAATCTCTGCACAGCAGAGGGTTGTCCCGTGCCCCTAGCCGGCGCACAGCTGCCTTTGCGTCTTTGACACGTACCAAGCAAATGATTTTTATAGTCAGCGATTTCTTACAAAAATTGGCGCCAAACTGCTGTAATGAACCGGTGTGTCCTGAGCACAAAAGGTGATCTCTGCCTTAATGACAACGCTGCACATAAAAGACAATCGGAACTGCTTCAAGTAACTATTTCTTTAAATGCTTTGAATCAAGACCTCCAGTGAGATGGAATGATACACTGAACAGTAATACATAATCAGCTTAAGGTAGTTTCTTAAGAATTCGCTATGAATCGAATGAGAAATTAGCATTTAGCCTTATTAAGTTCACTAGAAAGCATTTGGTTCGGGATTCGTTAGTCATTTGCAAGCAAAATCAAATATGACAAATATTAATTAATTTAGACATGATATAAAGCGTGTGACAAAAATATATTTGCTTAATTATAGCGATAGTTAAATCATCAATGACAGCAGATTATGTATATAATAATTGATAAGTTTCGGATTGGTGATTTGGGTTCAGTTAGTTAGTCATCTTGAAAGGAAATTGTGGATGCAAACTCAAATATATTAATGTAAAATGTTTTATAAAGTATGTGATCACAATATATAGTCGTGATGATTGCGTACAGTGATCATACACAGATCGTTCAGCAAACGAGCAAACAGCAAATTTGGCTTTCTTTTAAATTTATATTTCCATAAACACATTCGATCATTGCACTGTACAAGATACTACATTTTAAGTCAGTTTCGATCGTAAGATCAAGATCAAATTTATATTTCTAAAGCATCATTTATTCATAAAATCAATCAAAAATAAAATTACTTTAAGTTTCATTTGAAGTTCATGATCAACGCCAGATCAATATAATCAAATAAGAAATTTATTATTAAATGCCCAAAAAAGGTTTTGATTTATCGAAAGCTGTAAATTGGCTGCTATATAGGCAATGATAACATTTCGCTGTCATTTTTAACCAAATGTAGCTCGAGTTGGCTGACAGCAGACACCAAGGCGAGCTAACTGCACATCACCTGGCAGCCAAACCGCAAACTGCAAACTGCTAGCTGTAACTATGTGGACCCAGAGTCTGCGCAGATGCAGCTGAGTGCCTCACTTCAAAGTGTCAAAGAGCCGCCAAAGTCGCATAATGAAGTGCAAAATGTCATTAATTTGCCGTTGCTGCAGCTGCAGCAGTAACTGACAACAAAAGAAAGTCGCCGGATGGATAGGAAAAGTGTAAGAAAACTATGCAGAAATGCAAAACCCAATAGCCAGCGAGCTGGCGGTGGAGAGGGCGGCCGTTGCATGCCACACGCCGCCGCACAATGTCACGAGTTATAGATTTCTCAAGCCACTGAGCAAAAGAATGCGCCGACCATGGCGGCAACGCGAACTGGACGGCAATCAAAACAAGATCTTAGAACTATTGGCGCCTGATCCGCAGACAAAGACTTTGTGCTGAGCAGCTGGCCGCAGATGTAGACGAAGAGCAGGAGACAAAAGACCTGAACAGAAATAGATGAAGACGAAGACGATGGCTGAGACTGTGACTGAGACTGTGACTGTGACTGCGACGGAGTTGGAGACCAATGAGCACAATGTCCAGGTCAGTGAACATAAATGACGCCGCGGTGGGCAGCAGCCCATTGAAATCTGATATTGTTATCAAAGCTAACGGTAATTATAAACAAATAAAAGCACAACAACAGCAACGATCTTGTAATGGAAAGGAACACACAGCAGACCCGAAACATGAATACCACGTCGTTGCCCGGCTTCCGACGCCGCATAAATTAGCTAACTTAGAAGCTACGTCTATAATTCAAACTAATTTGTTTTATTGACAGCGTGTGCCCCTTCAACGTGTGTAGTCATCGATAAGGCTAACACACACACACAGACGAACACACAAATTGGTCAATTATGAACTGAGCCAGGTCTAAAGACCCAGTCGCTGCGGTTAGCCAGCATTCATTAGCGGGGGGGTGACAATAAATTAAATTTGTTGACCAACTAACTAATTAAAATACGCTTTTGGAGTCTCGGCGCTCTTGCTTCTTGAGATATTAATCTGCTTGGGAAGCTTACTGTCATATGGCTCTGTGGGGCATGGGGGACCACCCGCTCAGTTGCTGGGGGAGCTCAACAGCCATCGGTAGCTCTCATCTTGACTAATACGAATTATAATTTTCAGCTAGTGATTTTATTTAATTTTGTTCATAAATGAATCATGATAATGAATTGTTTATGCTGCGGCAAGCTTCAGTATATTTTCAAAACTTTGTTGTCTCGAGAGCTTCATGGGAAAAAGAGATTAACATCAGCGTTTATGTTAATGCCTCTTGAAATATCATAAGAAAAAGAAAACAACTAAATATGATAAATTCGCTGCTTCAGCAGTATTTTCGGCGCTGATTCACTTGCAAATATGCAAAATTTATCTTGTTTTTCTGCTTCGTTTTTGTCATTTGGCAACTTTTTACAAAGTTGGACAATTGTACCTGGCATGTCTTCAATTTCCTTATCGATAGCAAACATCCTCTTGGCGGTCGCACGAATTATTTGCATGCATCAAGTTGAAGGGCGCGACAAAGTTCAAGTTCGTCGCTCGATATGATGAGGGCAAAATATTTCTGTATGCTTCAATTTGATTGGAATGATAAAGATCATTCGAAATAAGGATTTTAGTTAGCTTTTGACTTCTGATTAAAAAATTAAAAATTGTCTGTTATGAAATATGGAATAATATTGCTTGTTGCTTTTAAAGTTAACTAAGTTTCAATTAGAGTAAAAAAAGTATATTTTAAATGTCAATAAAATGGGCTTTGTAGTATAGAATATATTGAGACATAAATGTTTAAATATGATTCAGCCATTTGACATAGCAACTCTCACAATCAACACAATTATGACCATCGTTGTTTTTGAAGACTTCTAGCTGACTCGGCCATAAAGCGCAGCGAATTCTAATTCTCTTTAGATAGCTTGTGGATTATCCTAATTCAAGATGCGATAATTTTCAACAATTTGCTTGCTCGTTGCCCTAATGAAATGTCAAACCAAACTGGGCTGATGGGTGCTGTGGAGTAAGGCATCTGTGACAACTCAAAGTTGTAAACCTCTAAAAATTCTTTAGTTTATATAAAGTTCATCATATATAAACAACCATCAATAACTTAATTATTAGTGATTAAACTGAAATATTAAGTCTTATTTCAACAATATTTTGTCAACTTCAATACTTCAATACTTCATACAAATTACAATTTAAATCCATCAAAAGAGCCATGCAAACCCCGCTGGTGCAACATGTGCTCATTAATTAAGGCCGCATTGCGACTGAAACTAATAACTAGCAAAATACCAAATTCAATATTCGATTAAAGGCCCTCAATTGAACAATTCAATTGAGTGCAAATGTTCCCATGACCAGACAAATTTACACTTGCAGACATCAGCAACAGCAGCATCAGCCAAGTGCGTGAGAAAGGAAAGTGGAAATGGCAGTGGGAGTGGGAGTGGAAGTGGCAGTGGGAGTGTGAGGGTTGCCTGGCTGGGACGCAGGCTCAGCAGGAGGATTCATTTGACCAATAAATAAAAGGTAGCGATGCGGGTGCGGATTTCTGTGGATTCGTATTACGAGAAGGGTCAGTGCAGCAGCAGCTAAGGGATGATCCTTGATGCATTATTTGTTATTTGAATCACGTGACAAGTTGCTGGCTAAAAAGCGAGGGGGTTGCTGGGAAAGCGAATGAGAAATCATCCCACGGGATTCAATTTATGCGTGTTTGAATGTTTTTGATTGCGCGTTGCTAATTCAAATAAAATTCAACTTCGACTTCGTAGGCTGTTTGCTGCTCATGTTGTTGTTGTTGTTGTTCCTGTGGTAAGCTGAGCTGCTTTGTGCTGCAAGCTCCATCCACCCGTTGGTGGTGTTGCTGCTGCTGCTGCTGTTGCTGGTTGTTGTGGCGGTGGTGCAATTTCAACCTCATTACAAAACATTTGCTTTGTTCGCCGAGCTTAACTTACGCCTTTTGGCTGTGAGGGGTCGCATCAATTGCCGTGACAGCTTGCGCCTGTTGGCATTAATAAAGTCACGAAAAGCATTTGCATTTCCGTGCTCAGGGGATTTGTAATTAAACAAATTAAGCAGCTGACTCGAGTGCCCCACCTACTCCCCAGCCGAGAGAACCCAGCCAGAGAGAGTCAATTTTTTAGCCATTTTTTCCTTGGGTCTGCAAAATGCTGTAAAAATAGCAGCAAATGTCAGCCTAATTATTACAAATGATCTCATATTTATATTTTATGTTAATTTCGGTTGTCAGCATTGGATTTTTTTTTATATCTGAGCTATGAAAATACCTGAAATGCCTTTAAAAAAATGCACTCAATTGGGCGATAAGGCTTGACGATACCCTGTGGTGGCCAAGTGGTAAGAGAAAACTGAAAAGTAAATATAAAAAAAAAATAATTTATATTTTTTTAAATGTTTTAATTATTCTCTGCGCTAATTATTCATTAATTCTCTCCATTTAATTACAATCTCCATGAAGTCTGCATCAACAAAGTTAAAAGTAGAAGGCATAAAAATTTATAAAATAATATATTAATTAATAATTACACTAAATATTATATACAAATCAAAAGAGACTTCAAGAAATTGCGTACAGATCTACTAAATTCAGCCTTAATATGATAAATCCTGATGCTCCGATATCTTTGACTGTTTCTTTGATATCTTCTGCTAGAATATGTTTGACTACAGGGTATATAAAAGTGAGTCTATATTTGGGGACATGCACCTGAAGAACCCTCTCCAGGGACTTGTGTATAGGTTTGGCATCGAAAAACCATTTAATTGATTTATGGCCAATGGATTGTTAGGTTGACTAAATTTAGAAGCGAGCGAACAACTAAAACAACTAATTTAGTGAGAGATGTGAGCTGTAAAGTTTTGTGTTCTTCAATTTTGTCACGTTCATGGGCATGATATTCTAGTAGTTTCATATTGTTCCACTCACTCTCTCTATCTCTCTGGGTGTCGCCCTACTGTACTGAACGTGTCCGTTTGTTTGTTTTTGTATGGTCGTGAGGGGCAGACAGGCGAGAATCTGTCGTCTGGCAGGGCCCTGTCACAATTGACACTGACGATGCGGCAGGTACACGAGACGTGCCGTTAAGTTGTCAGCTAGAGAAAATGGAGCAATGGAGAAATGGAGAAATGGCAGCGGTACATTTTGGACACAGCCTCTGCTCATCTAACGAAAGATTAATTGAACGTGCGCCAGCGAGTTATTAATCTTGGCGAGCTTAGTCGGGGCCTACATTGTTTCTAAAATATTGTATGCACTCGTCCCGGTGTCAGCTAATGGGACCGCCACTTGAGCCACGATCTGGAGCAGCTGCCCTGCTCTTGCTTGCTCTCGCTCTGGCTCCTGCTCTTATTTCTCTTCATTTATTTTTTTTTTTTATTCTGTAAAGGTCTCCCCCTAATTTGTTTATGGCTCCGATAATGCAATTTTTTAGTCGTTCCGAGTCGCGGGGCAGTTGGAGCACCGTGGAACTGCAATAACATAAATATATCCGCTGATCTGGCGGGAGCAATTACCGGGTGAGCCATATTTTGTCACATTTCGTTGTATTTTCTGCTTTTTTCTCCGGGTGAAAGTTGAGGCGTTCTTATGGATCCACATAACTCCTCAGAAGCTGCACTGAACATTATGTTCGCTATAGTTCAGAGGCGACGCTGAGCTTTCACTTTAAAAGAGACATTTTTAGAACTTAGTAAGCTCGCTGTTAGCCTTTTTATTCCTTTAATTAAATACGTTACTTAAGGGAATTTTTTAAGAATTACACATGCGATTGGCCAAGAAATTGAATAGCATTTTATCCGACGCAATTTTCGCTCAGTGTATAAAGAAATATAGCATTCGATAGGAATCGAAACATTTCTTATCTGTAAGTTGAGAACTTTTGCTAGTTTATAGCAGACAGCAGCTTATGACCTGCTTGGGCTTCTGGGAATTCTGGGAACGGAACTAAAGCCCTCCTCCCTCCCAGCAGCAGCCCTCACTCCTCAGTGTCTATTACGCATTGAGAGAGCACATGCCAAAACTTGCCACAAATATTGCGCAGCTGCTGCTGTTCTATTTCACAAGGCTGAGCAATTGAAAACATGACGCACACACACTTAAAGAACAGACACCCTTCTCCTTGCCGAAAAGTAACGAGTCAGACCTGAAGTTGAGCCGAGGCGCAAATGCAACACCTTGAGCGTGCTCGAGGAAGTAGCAGATAGTCAAGACACCACCAGCAAAAGTTGTGAGGCACAACTGGTATGTCACGGGGGGAAGTTTTCAATTTCTATGGAACACCTGGACGCAGTTGTGGAAGCGTCTAAGGTGCACAGCTAATGAGCTCAGTCAGAGGCGCAACTTTCTGTTTTGACGCAGCAATGTCTGCCAGCCAATGGCTTGGAGGGGGACGGGGTAAATTCATGTGTGTGTATCATGAGTAAACAACATAAAATCATATCAGTTAAGTTCGGTTCGGTTCGGTCTCCTTTCTTGCCAAATCCACAATGAACACTTGCGTCATCCGCATTTCATAAAAATACAAATTCATTTGGATGAGGTCTCGAGCAGGGGTTGCTAGAGGAAGTGCACACCTTGCCCCATTTACATAACATTAGCCGGGGCACATCGCAGCACCTCGATACCAATTTCTAGTTTCCCATCGCTCCATTGTGAGCATGTGACAATTATGGTAAACGCATGCAAATGACAATCGGAACATCATTTAGTTGTCTTCCAGAGCAAATGCGAGCAATGCGATCCACTTCCTTGGCCACGTTGAGCCCTTACGGCATGTTATGATTTTGTTTAACCGGATGCCGAGCCGACACGCAAGTGTTAACCCATCCATTTGGGAATTATGCAAATTACTTTTGGCAATGCTCGGACATATTCCAGCACCTGGGAAACGGAAGGAAACGAAAGCGAATCCGAACTAAGGAGATCTTTCCCACAGTTGTCAAGGCTAATGGATCGCTGACAATTTTCCATTATTGATATAACATTTTAGCAAATAATCTGAAAGAAATCGAGATGATAAGTCAATAGCATAGCTAATGAAATGGGAGATGAGCTGATTAAGGTTCAGCTGAGATGAACTTTAAAGATTATCCATACTCGATTGGAAACTCATAATCGATAAATTGTGGCGAATAAGATGTTACGAAAATATCTAAATCTAATTAAGTTTATCAGTTGAAAATATTGTCAGAATAGATTATTAATAGAACTTTCAGTTTTTTTTTTTTTTTTGGTCCTAAATTCAAGTGAAGTGTATAAAAATGCCGCCCAGTTATGCATCAGAGAAGGCAGAACTACTGGATGTGATAGCACCGCGCCATTCGCTGTTATCGGGACGATATAAGCAGAGCTTCGCCTACATAGCGCTACAGTCACGAATGCCGGGTATAATGTCGCAAGTCACTAAAACTCTGCTCCTAAACCAATCGTACTTGGAAAAGCTCCATGGCACTAATCTCGATAAGGAGATTCATATCATCATTGAGAGTATAGAGCGATTACGAAAGGAACTCCGCCGTGATCGCGAGTTTCTGCTATTCCATGGCAACGAGTCGGACAAACCTGAATGGAATGCGTTTATAAGCGAGCTGCCCCGGCCCAAGCGGTCATACTTTCGGGCCAGTTGGCTGCACTCGGAGTGCTACCTGTACAGACGCATCCATTCCTTCTTTGAGAGCAGCAAGTACTTGCGTGACTTCGATTACTTTGCAGACCTCAAGAGAGATGACCTTATAATCAGTGCCCGAGCAATTAACTGCCTCACCATGGCCACTCGAGGGCTAAGTAAAAACTACGAGTGCTTTAGTAGGTTAATGCGCATTAATCTGTGGAGCAATCACTTTGACATTCAGCTCGCTGCATTTGTCTTTGACTCGCCTGAGGATAATAAAAACATCGACGTACTAGCCAAGGTGGCCGATCTGGATCGTCGGATTTTGGTCGACGAGAGCCTACAGGTTTGGAACTGTCTGCTCAAGGCGAAGGGCCAAAAGGAGATTATTGTCGACTATATCTGTGACAACAGCGGATTTGAACTATTTACGGATTTGCTGTTCGTCGAGTATCTAATCGATCAAGAACTGGCAACTCAAGTTCGACTGCATGTCAAGGCCATACCCTGGTACATATCCGATGCAATGAAATCGGACGTCGAATGGACTATAAGCTATTTAAAAGACAACAAGGATGAGCATGTCTCCTCGCTGGGCAAGAAGTTAGAGCGTCTAATGAAAAGCGAGCACATCCTGGTAGCACCGCCGTCGTATTTCTGGACGGGGCCACAGTCCTACTTTGTTATGGTCGACTCTAATATAGAGTTGTACAAGATGCTCACCCAGGCCCAGCTGGCGATCTTTAAGGGTGATCTCAACTATCGCAAGCTGCTCGGCGACTATATTTGGGACTTCACGGAGGAGTTCATCACATGCCTGCGCGGCTTTCGGCCGACCAATATGTGCGCCATGCGCAATGTCAAATGTGAGGTCATCTGCGGTCTGCCTGAGGGTGTCGCGGATCACTTGTTAAAAGTCGATCCCAATTGGATGATATCCGGTTACTATGGCGTTATCCAGTATACGGATAGCTTTAAATGCAAGTGCGATGCTCAGCAATCTTTATGCTCGCTGAACAACAAGGCCTGAGCCAGTTTTCACTTGTGAGAATGGCAGATTCTTGCCTCGGCAATCAGCAGGCAGCCTATCGACGCCTCATCGCCGCTAGTAAGATCTGAAAAGCATTACTAGTTTTCTTTTTTATATTAAATTTTCCTGTGGAACTACTGCTACTGCAGCTGGTCGTAAGTGAAGGCGCGGCAGTTGCGGGAGGCCGAGCAATGTCTTAATTTGCATTACGCTGCCAGCGAAGAAAACTCACAATGCCTGAAATAAATGAGCCCAAATTTGTCAGCGCACTTTGCCCAAATCAAACTGCATCGTTACGCCCACCGACTGAGCATGCAGACAGGAGTCTGTGCCGCCTTTGGCTCTGCCTGGCTGCCACCTGCATTTCTCCAGCCAGAGCCGATCTTGCCTGGCCAGCGGCCCATTGGCCAATTGGCGAGTGACTAATGCTGTTGGTTTTATTGATGTGGCGCACATGCGCAGCCATTTGTATGCGAGAAGCTGCCGGCGTCGCGACTCGCCGGCTTGCCGGATGACCAATTGGAAATGGAAAGTTGTGAAAATCAACATGTGGCTTGAGACGGTCGACTTAAATTATTGTCTAAAAAGTGATATAAATATAAGAAATGTGGCGTTAATTTCTTACAAGAACTGTTGACCTTATGGAAACAGTTTTCTAATTGTATGGTTTGTATCGAAAATGTATTTTGTTGAACTAAGTTGAGAATAAAGTTACATTAATATCTTATTACCTTTTATTATGTATAAAGGTATATTTTTCGCTTTATTTCATGCAGTTCAAGGCATTTAATTGTATTTATTCAAAAGTTTACTTTACTTTTTGGTTCCCATGAAATATTAATATCGCTTCGCTGGTCAGTTCATTGAAAAAGTGCAGCTAAAATCTTTGGGATATTTGCACTCTATTTCCCAGACTTGCAGTTGACTAGAGCTGAATGCAGACTGTAGCCGTAGGTGTTCTTACTTTGTTCTTTTCGTTTGGGCCCACGGGGATTTCTCAGTAACTCGAAACCATATCAAAGTAGTATCAAATCTTTATCGGAAATGACTTCAAATCAAATTCTCTTAGTTGATTGCACTTTTGCCCAAGAAACCCTCTCAAATGAGCAGCGCACAATAGCCGAAATTAAATCAAAATTGAAATATTAAGTGTGCATTCCCACAACTATTAAGCTGCCAAAATTGAGAAATCCACATGGGGCCGACGCGAGCTGGATCGACAAATTCCAATGCACACCAGTCTCAGGTACAGTCCGCACATTCCCCTAATGTTGTGCGCAACGAAATGACAGTGAAACAGTGGAAACGGGCCACGCAAATATTTTCCCACCGAAAAATCCACCCCAAAGTTCAGCTACTGCGCAGCTGCAAATCAAAACTGAAATGGAATAAAAGCCATAGGCTGCTTCCCTACAATCAACAGCAACTGGCTGCTGTCCACTTGGTTTTCGCTTTATATGTTTTGGGGTGGGGTTCGCTTCCCAGTGCGGATGCGCCCTTGAAAACAGCACCCGGCAACCTTACGGACGGCTAACTGGTGTACGTACCCGTCCCATTCACCAGTTCGCAGCTACCAGGTTGCTGCGGCTGCTGCCGTTGCTGGTGCTTTTGTCTGCTGGCGGCACGGGGAGGGTTGCCAGCCTTGTCCAGGTGAGGATTATAGCTGCGATTTCCACCACCCATTCAATAGCTTTAAGCTGTGCGCAGGTATGCGCCATCAAACCAGCTGGCAAACAAGATTCAATAACAATCAACTGTTGTTGGGCTGGGGCGAAGCTGTGGCTTGTTGTTGCAGTTGCCATCCGGCTGCTAAATTTCAAATTGTATTTGCTTTTTTGCAAGGTGCGAGAGCTAAGCTGCATTCTCATATACTCACCCGTTGGATAATCAATAAAATTTATTTCAGTCACATTGCACCCCAAAATAGTCGACCGGATGCCGCCGCCAAGTGCCTGCAGTGTTTGCCTTTGAATATTCAATAATTATTGGGGCAAACTCAATGCTTCGAGCGTGTGACTCAGCCTAGAGCTGGACGCGGCGCATAAAATGACATGAAGGCCATACTCTGTGATGGGTAAACGATTAAAGTGACCAAGGAGGACACAATTATCTTAAGCATTTACTACTTATTATTATTGAGAGTTTGGAAGAGGTTGATGAAATAGTAATTAACAAATCTCTATTTATCTCAAATGAATAAAGATATGCCTTTAAGCTGACAAGGTAGGACTTATTTATTAATATTTATATGATATTTATTATATATATAAATTATAGGTCTTATATGTTATACATTATGAATACGTTAAGTTCGAAGGGGGCTATAGAAAAAACATGAAAAAAAAACCAAATATAAATATTGATGAGTAAAATAAGACCCAATTTTGAGTCACGATTCGCACTCATATCTAAGCGTCGGCCGTTTGAATAAATATTTTGAGAACTGCAATGTGAATTTTATGATACAATGGTGCACCTTTGCTTAGCACACTCGATGACTGATCGGAAAGTACGACATGTGTTGACTACGAACACTTTGGCTATCAAAGGCAAAAGTTGTGCCTAAATTATGTTCGAATTAAATGGAAACAACTGAGAGCACAATCAGCAGCTGAGCTCAATCGGCAGTTGACATAAACCTTTCGCTGCAAATGCCGCCAAAGGCGCTGACAAGTGGCCGGCGGAGCAACTGGCGAAAAGGTCAGCGTTTCGTAATCAGCTTTAGTGGCTACTCTGTGTGTGCACACGTAACCATAAGCATGGCTCCATGTCATCCTATATTTCACCGAGACACCAAAGCTGAGGCGCAAACGGGCACTCCGAGGCTGGGCACGGGCGAATGGCACTGTCAACTGGCCAGCGCAACGATTGTGGAACAACGGCCAAAAAACACATTCGCCAACTGACCAAGTGGCCGCCGATTCACGGCAACAACAACAAAAATAATAGGAACAGCAATAGCAACTAGTAGTAGATATGTATGTTCAAACGACTATCACCCGCTAAAATTCAAATTCAAATTTGCTTAAAAACCCAACGCCCCGGCCACCGTCTGCCGTCCACCGGCCAACGAGCCAAAAGACCACAAAAATTAGCCATCGACTTGGGCGCTAATCTGGTTTTAAACTGCGCCAGCGACCGCTGCCACGATGCGGGTGTGTACCACGCAGCTCTGGCCCGAGCCTGAGCCAGACCCAACTCTAACCTAGGCAGCCTGCACAGCCTGGTCAGCGCATGGGCCAGCCAGACAGACGGAGAGACGGACAGAGTGGCAACCGGCCGATCACCGTTTGGCCATCGCTGAGCAACCAGTTTGTGGCACCCGCACCTGGCCAACTGCCCAACTTACGACTCGCAGCGAATTGCCCCAGCCCAGACAGCTGCCTGTCCTGCTCAGCTCTGCCCTGCCCTGGTCTGCCCTGTGCAGTCCAGTCCTCGTTTCTGTTTTGTGTACGTACAAATGCGTTGCTAAAACATATTTTTCATAAACCTAATTAATTACTATTTATATGGCATTATCTAAAGGCTAAAATAATTGTTTAGATTGTTGTGGGATATGTGTAGTTCTAGTGCAGAACTAAAAACAAATACTTTCATTTGAGTCAAGATCAAGACTCGTGTCTAACCCAAATGCTAGCTTAGAATAGAATTAAGTCTTAATAAAACTAACTAACTATTAATTTAAACAATTTTTTTTACATTTATAATTATTTATTTTATTTTATGAGGGGTATAAAATGGAGCAGAAGTCATATGTCGAAAACTTTAGTTAAGTCTCAAATTTTCTATTTCAATTATAGAAAATAACAACAAATATTTAATCAGAGTACAGGGTATACAGTAGCTCATCTTATTAAGCTGTAGTGAATAAAATCATTTTGTTTTTTCTTATAATAACTATTAGCTGAGTTATTCCAAAGGCATGTCAATAGAGCTGAAGAAATTTCACTTCAACGACATTAAATTTGAATGGTTATTAAACAGCATCATGAAGATTAAAGAATATGGGTTTAAGGCTAGGTTCGCTTAGTTAGATGCTGAAAGCATGTCGAAATAGCCGTTGATTGAGGTTTATTAGCCATATGCTTGAGTACATAAGCAGTAATTGCTATTAGCTGTATATATATGTATATATATATATATATATATATATATATATATATATGCATATATATATGCATATATATATGTATATATATGTATAAATGAATATTAGAAATACCTTCTACTATATTTGTAGACATGCAAATAGTTTACCTTTTATTGTTAATTGGAAAAAAACAGGTTGTGCCTCTTACTCTTTGCACTCCCCCAACCCATACTCGCCCAGACCGTTGCCTGCTGAAAAGGTGCACTGTAATTCGTCTACTCAACGCCAGAGTGTGATTTGCTGATTAGCAACACTCTTTCCGTCATATTCTGAAAGACCAATTACAACGGCGAACAAGACAAACGGCCAAACAGTTGCGACGCTTACTTTTGCTTTTGTTCTGTTGTTGTTAGGCTATTTTTTTTTTCGTGCATTTTGGCCACGTGAACACCCTTATGCAAAACAAATCAAAACAGCATTAAAAGTCGTAAATCTGTGCCAAAAAACGTTGCCGGCCACAAACCAAATGCAAGCCGAGCCATTCGACCGGCTCCTTAACAACAAAAGCGACTGCAGCATGTGCCAAAGCCAAAGACCAGGCCCAAAGCCTCTTGGCCACAGAGACACTTGGCCACTCGAGACGCCGGCGTCGGCAACGGCGGCAGTGGCGGCGGCGGCGGCTGTTGTGATAAAATATGAGACACTGGGGCAGACAGTCAAATGGTCGAAGAAGAGGGCGAGCGCGGCTGACTGGGAGCCATGATTCAGTGCAAAAATAGCCAAAAAGAAATATCCATAGAGACTCATACAGACGTATATATATGTATGTAGATATATATATTTAACTGGGTAGACTCATACGTCCAGGAGGTTGTTGGTTATTACTGCATTACCAATGACAGCAGCCACCGCCGAGACGCCACCTAGCGGCCCGAATGAGGCAACTAACCTACCTGTCAGCCCAAGATATGAAAAGCCTTCGATTTCGCCGGCAACTCATATGCATATACACTTATGAATGTGGGTTCCTTATGCGGGGACTGCCATAATGTCATGGCGTCGTTGTTGTTGCGGTTGCCGGTTTCAATATTTATTTATTTGCGAGTGCCTCGCGCAATGCATTAAAGGCAATAAAATAAATAAAAATTGAAATTGACTACGTCAGAAAATTTTGGCATTCATAATGCATGAGTTTTGATTTCTTAGCGACGTCAAAATGCCAGCAGAAAAAAGTAAAGGAAAAATATTAAATAAGAATATGCAAATGATACGTATGACTGACTAGAAGATATCCAGTTCAAAGGGTTATGGTTTTATCTAATATAAATATTTAAAAATAGTTTTGTCCTTAGCTATTTCTAGGACTTAAGCTTTCTTTATTTAAGTATATAGATTGAAAAGCTTTATCTTTTGATCTAAATACATTTATTTATACTTTATGAAAAGAGTAGCTTTTACCGCTGATAGGGTACCACTCAGTTCAGCAATTAATATCATCTTTATCAACTTCATTGGGTTTCAACAAATCATTTTTACTTTTGGCCAAAT